CTCATGAAGATCACTCGTGTTACGTATTTGTATGTTTTCATGCGGCTAATGTGGGCACCAGGATCCCTTTCTTACCCCCAACAGGCAGAGACAAATTCTGCCCTCGCTAGTCATGAATCTTCCATACACGGTGCAGGCATTTAACTGAGGGTAGAACTTGGCCTGTGGGGTCAGAAACAAACTGCTCAGCCAGGCCATAGCCAGACCAGCAGCCTGTCTCCATGTGGCCAACACGCTCTCTAGCTAGCACTCAGGCTCTTTAGCATCTCGATTACCAATGTTGAAATCTTAACAAATGCCTCCTTTTCTTCCATGCCATGTTACCATGCAGAAAGAGAGTTGGAGCAGCCTGTTTGTAGTGCCAAGATTATGCACGTGCTCTTAGCTAGATTTGTTGTTTGGTAGTGTTGCATTAGTTGCTGTCACCCTTTTGCAGTATGTTGGAGAGGGAAGCTGGGGGAAGAGAGAGATGTCTCTTTGGACGCAGGGATAAGGGCACAATTATTTTCCAGTTCATCATAAGGAAATTTTGAAAGTTTGAGCCAGTCAATCTGATCGCTGCTTACAGACAATTTTACTTACTTTGCACATCTTGGCTACACACGTCATATTTTCAGCTGCTTTCTATGATTCTTAAAATGACTTTTTTTTTTCTCCTGTGTTGGGGTTGCCAGAGGTTGCCAATCAGTTTACAATTTAAGGTTATTATCATATAGCATTGTGTAATTATGACTTGAAATACATATTTGTTGACATGTAAGAACCACTTAACTGACACTGACAATAAAAGAAGTGCTATCAAATACTCCATAAACTGATGTCTCTTAAATCAAATGAAGGGGAAGAGAAAGGAAAGGTACTTTTTTCCTTCCCATTTGTTCCAGTGCAAAAATGTATCTTAGAATTGAAATCCAGAGAATCAAATCTTCAGCTGGTGTAAATAGGAACCAGCTTAAGGAGTTACAAAGAGAGGTCAAAATACAGGAGAAGTTAGGTAATGAAAAATGTTGACATTTCCATTTGACAGGATTCAAAATAGATCCCTTTGCCAATTTTGGCCAAATTTCCCATGATCTGTTTTACCAACATTTTCAAAAAATGTCTGTGTACTGAAAATGCGGTTTGCAGTACAAAAACAGTTTTTGGTAAATGAAAAAATTTGGATAAAAATTAAAAAAAAAACATTGAAAATTTCAATAATATTGACAATGTTTTCCAAAAGTGTCATTTCGTAAAGCCTGTTTTTCAAGAACAACACTTTTTTTGTGCAAATATGTCAACCAGCTCCAGTTACCAGCATGGCTAGTTAATGCTAAATGTTACATTGGTGGCTAGGCCTTTTTCCTCCTTGTTTAAATGTTTTCAGCCATGACTAGCAGCATCATACCTTCCTAATCTTCACTTCCCCTACCGGCTTCACTCTCCCCTGCTGTGACTTATCTTCAGCTTTTTCCAGATACTCTCCAGGGGTTAAGTAGACGATGCAGTTCTGCAAGATTCCTAGAGAACTTAAGAGTAGCCTACCTGGAGGCAGTGTGTCGTGGACCTACCTACCAAAACCAAGACTGGAATGTAGTAGATTTTGGGAGTTGGTGGGGGAGTGTAAAAATCGGCAGTTGTGGATGCATTTGGAGTGCCCTCTAGTGGCAGGGCTTGGCTATATCTGCGCTAGGAGGGATTCCCAGCTTGGGTACACCTATTTGCATTAGCTCAATGAGAGCTAGTGAGAGTGTAAATAGTAATGAAGCTGGGCAGCATGGGCCGTGGTTGAGTGTAATATTTCTCTCGACCTATTTTATCCTGTTCTATTTAGCAATGGTTTTATTAAGCTGCTGGTACAACACGAGCCAGCCTAGGTGCCTATTGTTAACTCGGTACACCAGCCTCCTTGGTAACAAAAGGAGTAGTTACAGCTCCGGAGCTTCAGCCATCTCACTTCACTTCCCCCCTCAGGGCTTCCCGCAGGAAGTACTGCACACCACACCGTTCCCTCCCACCGTTGCTCCTTGCAGTTGTTGTGTCCAGAGCACTGGAAGCTGCCAACATCTGTGAGCAGGTCAGTAAACCCAACTTACCCAACAGTGAGAGAGGGAGTGGTACCAGCTGGCCCTAGATGGGTCAAATAAACAGGTAGGATCTTAAAGGGTTAGAGGGCAAGGCACCTACCATGCATGCACCCAAGAGCTGCCTCCTGAGCACCTGGGGAAGGGCAATAGAGAGAAGTCTCCCCTGTCCCGCAGGGGACCTGAGTTTCCATGGTTTTCCTTTAAGGCTTCTCTTCCTTCCTCTGCTATACCTCTTAAGACTCCTTTCCCCACCTGTGCTTTGGCTTAAAGCACAGGGGAAATCTGAGGGGGAGAGAGGCAGCCAGTGTTGCCCCAGGATAAGGATGGTGGCTATAGCTTAGCCAGCCCGCATTACATCCCTCCCATCCTGCTTGGAGTTGCGCACTACGACCCTGGTGGCAGTCCGAGTGGGTTGAGGTGCAGCATCAGTCCTTCCCCACATTCACAGCAAGCCTGGAGGGGCCGGGAGCAGAGAGTTAGACACCTGCACTGTGCCACCCCCAGCACTGGAGCCAATCCCATGCTGGGCTGCCGTGGGAACAAACATGCCTTTTGGTGTGGGAGAGAAAACTCCCAGAATGCTCCATGCTCACCCTGCCCCGAGCTTCCCGCACAGCTAGAGGAGGGGAGAGTGTAGCTTCTGGGAGGCTGTTTTGAATGGGTTAATTGGAGGGGCAGCCCCCATCCTTTCCCTAGGAGGAAGGCATTTCTAAGAGCAAGCCTGCTCCCCGGTTACTCAGGCACCCTGCAGCCAGGGTGAGGCAGAATGATAGCGTCTCTGGTCCCAAGGAGTAAGACAGCCTTCTCCCCTCCAGCCCCAGGTTCTTTGGGGAAAATGGCACCGCAGTTGCTGTAAGACACCAGCTCAGCTTGATAGAAAACCTCTACCTTCCCATCCCAGGAGGGGATAAAGTGTATGAGGCCCCCCTCCCCCTAGCACACTCCAGGAGTTGATTTAAGTGGAAGATCCAGGTATAGTCCGTATGTCGGAGCTATCAGATCATTCTGCTGCCCTTCCCCACCCAAAGGGCTCGGGGTGTTCTGCTGTGAAAGGCCCAGCTCCACAGCCAGAACTTTCCTGGAACCCCCATCTTTGATAATGACCTTCCGCTGAAGGCCTAGCCAAGGCATGATTGGGCCTTATTTGGCGAGAGGACCTAGCAGCAGTTGCATCAGCATTGTCTCCTCCAGCTCTGGGGAGAGGAGTCTTTTCTTGGCTTTGAGGCAGCAGCTGGGAGGGAGTTCAACTTGGGCCATTGGGAAGCAGAGTTTTGCTGTAAGTGTTCCTTCTGCATGCCTAAATCAGAGGGTGAGGGCAGGGGATATGGAGAGGAAGTTTGAGTGGATCCCAGTTTAACAGGATTAGCCCCTATCCTGACTGTTCTCCCTATTTTCAGGAGCTCAGCCAGGATAACAACTAGCCAGCTGCATTGATTCAGTCTGTTCTCTGCCTTTCCCAGCTCCTCTCTTCCCTGCTTACTGAGGAGGTCAGCTCTAACCCCACTCGCAGTATCTGAATGCTGTGTGTAGTGGCCACAGAGCTCCTCTGCCATCCCACTCTTATTCTCCTACATCGCTGTGAGGGAGGCTGGGGCAGTAGCTGGAAGAGGGCATTTAGCAGAGGCAAGGAGAAAGCTGCTGCCAGAGGCAAGGTAAGCAACACTTCAATCAGCAGAAGCTAGAAGAGCAAGCATGCTCCCCCACCCCACCCTGCTTTGAGCCCCACCAGAGATGGTTTTAAAAAGTCTCCTAGAGTTGATGTGTTCCCCTACCCCCAAAAAATTGACTACTAGAATTGTTTTAAAAAGCCTAAAATATTTCACAAGTTCTCATTCCACTCTAATGCCCACTCCGAGAGCCCCATTCCACCAACGGGGTCTCCCCTGCCCTGAGCTGGATCACTTTCCCAATGACAAGTCCCCATTGACACCTGCCCAGTTAACACCCCCCGACTTTCTCCCCTCCCCAGGAGATACATAAGAGACTCATATGTAGCCCTCCCTCCCAGTGAGGAACACCACTGGTACAGTTGTGAGGAGACAGGCAGTCCTTCAAAGCCTGAGCCACTCTGTCAAGAACTGCAGATCATACCTATCTGTAGTGCATCCTAGTCTAACAACCCCAGCTATCAAAAGAGATAGGACTTGTACACTGCCTGAAATCCAGCAAGCTAGGACAGCCAGCCACCTCCAGGATTCAGCCCTAGCTCCACAACTGCATTTACATAACTGAGCAGATGATCACTGCAGGAGGTGGGAGCGGTATCCTTTAACAGCAAGAAGTTCATGGGGGGTGTGGAGGGGGGAGATGAGTGAAGTTAATAGCCTCTTTCAGCTAAGAGGTGGCATTTACACTAGGCGGTAGCAGCAGCGGGGGGGTGAGAACCTGGATTTGTGCTGGAAATAGCCCACCTTGATTATCATACACATTTTAAAAAGAGAGTGGTCACTTTGGATGGGCTATTACCAGCAGGAGAGTGAGTTTGGGGGGGGGGGGGGCGGAGGGTGAGAAAACCTGGATTTGTGATGGAAATGGCCCAACTTGATCACTTTAGATAAAGTATTACCAGCAGGAGAGTGGGGTGGGAGGAGGTAATGTTTCATGGTCTCTGTGTGTATAATGTCTTCTGCAGTTTCCACAGTATGCATCCGATGAAGTGAGCTGTAGCTCACGAAAGCTCATGCTCAAATCAATTGGTTAGTCTCTAAGGTGCCACAAGTACTCCTTTTCTTTTTGCGAATACAGACTAACACGGCTGTTACTCTGAAACCAGATTACCATCAGTTTTCTTTAAGGGGAGGGAAATAGGTGTCCCAGGGCTGGCAATTAGGTACATGTTGGCTCCTGGTACAAATTAGCCATTCCTATTTAGTGCAGGAGAGGCAAGCTGGCTCGAGCAGATGAAATGGCAAAGAGCGAGCAGACACGGCAAGCTTGAAGGCCAAGTTTAGATTTATTTCACTGAGCAGGGAGGTGGAAGGAATAGGACTAAGCAGTTAGCTAAACTTAATGGCTTTGATGGCAAAGTCACCTTCCACAGACAGGTACTCAATGTTCTGCAGGCCCAGCCGATTGGGGAACACGATCTCCTTGTCACCAGCCAGTTTCACCGTCAGCTCTGCTGTGTCAAAGGAGATACAGATCTGCAAGGAGTAGGCACATTAGAACCAACACAGGCAGCCAATCCCCATGACCTCTTAGAGATGGGTTAACCAGGAGCTTCGCCCAGACAGCATTAGCTACTCTTCCCTCAACTAGCATCTGTCTTGAGGGGGAGAAAGCCTGATTTCCCCAGATCTGGCTGAGAGGGCACCCCAAAAATCTCAAGGGGCCTCACTGGTGCCTTCACCTGAGTGAAGAGAGGCCTATTTCATTAATGTGAAGTGCTTTGCTGTATGGTGTGAAAGGTGCTGCAGGAATGTAGGGATAGGAACTCCCCAGGTCCAGAAGGACCCCAGCTCCATAAATCAAGTGCCCTCTTAGCATAGCTTTGTTCCCCACTCCCGGGTCCTCACCTCAGTCTTGTCACCCTGCTGGAAGGGAAAGTCAGTCTCCCTCTCCTCTGTCCCCCACATCCCATCCTCCATGGAGTTGCACACAATGACGTTCACATCCCCGTGGCTGTCGAAGCGTGGGTTGAAGTGCAGCACCAGGTTGCTGCGGTCCTTCCCCACATTCACAGCAAACCTGGCATGGAGGAGACAATCAGACACACAACCACACTACACAGCCCCTCCCACCGGAGTCCAGACCGATCATCTCTGTAATGCAGAGACAGATCTAACAACAGAGAGAGCGGAAGCTGTCCGGAGACAGATTCACCTCTGGCACCTACCCCTGTCGTGTGCTAAGGGAAGAATCCCCACTGGTTACCTAAATGATGATGCAACATCTAACCCTTCCAAACTCACCCCTTGGCTTCCGGCAAGATCTTCCCCTTCACTTTGATGCACTCTCCAGCCTGGACGTTCAAGTGAGTAGCAACCAGTCTCTAAGGGAGTCAAGCCACAAACGTATTAGCCTCCCCCTTGGGGATCAACAGACCTACTTCCTCGGTTTGAAGGGAGAGGCAATAGCACCGGGGACACAAGAAATAAGTGCTGAGCATGAGCGAGAGACAAGACAAGTTCCAAACCATCCCCCTGATCAGTCAGCGACCAGAATCATTAACATGCAACCACAGTTCCGTGGCCTACGGAATGAGGTTTGTTGGTCTCCGTCCAGTTCCCATGGGGCAGGACTCCAAGTGTTCCCAGCCACAGGCACTAACTGGCCTGATGGCCAGCAGTCTGTCCAGAGGTCAAGCACTGAATGGACTAGAGGCGCACGTTGGTCTCATTAGCTGCAGCCCATGGGATTTGGGGATGTAACACACACAGGGAAGCCTGCACTGCTGCGCCTGCCACTGCTTGGGCTTTACCTGCACTGGAGTTAAGAGGGCTCAATTCATCCCTGGGAGTTTGACTAGCATTTTTCCCTAGCTACCTTTCTAAAAGAAGCCACCGTTCATTTCTTAGGCACCTGACCCTTTAGCATGCAGAGAGGTAACTTCCCCGGCCTGCAGGAATTTGAGACTTAACCCTCTTTTAATCTACCCTCCTACATTTAAAGCCATGGCTGTTACTGTGCAATATCTACAACCCACCAGCTTGCTGTGCACACTGTCTTAGCCGGCCAGTGCTCCCGTGCACTGGGAGCCCTGAGTGGGGCTTGGCTTGCTAGCTGAAAGCGCTTGCCCATCAGCCAGCTTGCTTGCATACATCCCAGCCTCTGCTGCAGGGGAGCAAATGAAGTTCATGAAAACATCCACCTTCAGCCCCTTGCTACCCCGTCTCCACCAGGTGCCACCCTTGCCTTGCAAGGGGCAGCCACTAACCCTGAAGGGAGCTGACCTTGATAAACAACCTCCATATCCAGCCTGTGTCTGGCCAGAGGCCCCATTCCACTCGCTGGATCAGAAACACAAGCACCCTCACCTGAGGAGCTATTGGAATTTAGCTCCAAAGAGACCGCAATAATGAGCTTAAGACCGAAACCTGTCACAGCCAGGGTTATATTGCATTAGACCAATGGAAACAGTAGCATATGCACCAGTATCACCTCCTCCAGTTTTGGAGAGAGGGTCACTTTCCTTCATTTGGACACAGTTTTTTGATTTATCTCCTTCTCCAGGAGGTGGGGGAGAGACAGTTCAGAGCCTGGGAACAGCTGCAACATTTCTCGCTTCACACCCCACCCCCAGGCAGACCTTCCCAACCCCTGTGTTACAGGGAGTCAGTTAGTGACCAATGGAGAGGCCAGATCTCTCCGGTTAGTGGGCTCTGATCCTGCAACCTGTTCTGGAAACTCGAACTGTCCTCATTTTAGTTGGATCAGCCAAGAGGCTATCCAGCCACCTGCATAGCCTATTCGGTTTTGTCCAGCTCTCCCATTCTCACCATAATGCTGAGGTCAGCTCAGCTATGATCTGCAGATTGCTAAACTGCTTATCACCATAGCATCTAAGCCCTACTTATCCTGGCTCCCTACACATCCCTCTTTTATTCTGTTTCTGGAGCACAGGCTGAAACTTGGTCGGATGGCAGAGCCAGGGAGGAGGTAGCCACCAAGACTGAGGAAGGTAAGCAATATTTAAGAGCTGCATTTCGGAGTTAGAGAGGGCTGAAAGGCCAAGGTTGGGTCAGTGACATGCCCCTATCCTGTAGTGCCCTATAGGGCTGAGTTAAAGGGGGTTTATTTTAAGTTAAAAGAACCCAAAAAGGCTCTATACAGGCATGAAATGTTTTATAAGAGTTCTCAAGAAAAAAAAAAGTGTACTTCGATATTCTTTCCAGACTGTCTAAGACATTGGAAACATTAGTAGAGTTACTGACACTACAAGTGCTGAAAACTGTTAACCTAAAATAATAAGTGGCCCACCGTGAACCCTTCAAAACAAAGGCTACTTGGAAATATCTTGCAAAAATAAAAATTCATCCATCTCTAGTGTTCCTTCCCCCCCAGTGTTATAGTCCAATCATGCATTTTTCTTCCATCACTGACATATGGCCCAACCCAATACCCACAGCTACTAACCCTTTAGCTATTTCCCCCTCCGTTAAAGAAATTTTTCTATTCCAAGGTACAACAGAAAAAGAGCCCTGCAGCTCACCCTGGGAGAGCCTTAAGAGAGAAGTCAGATGGGGGGGGGGGGGGGTGAACTAGACCAGCTGTCTGGTCACCCAGCACATGATTCACAGTTCTCCCAAAAAGAAAAAGGAGGACTTGTGGCACCTTAGAGACTAACAAACAAATTTATTTGAGCATAAGTCCTCCTTTTCTTTTTGCAGATACAGACTTACACGGCTGCTACTCTGAAAGCTCTCCCAAACACACTCACCAGCAGTTAACCTTCTTCCAGGATTCCACACCTAGCTTCCTATCCCCCTGTCTTGCAAGTAAAGCCCTAACCAGTCCCAGCTACAGAGAGACAAGACTCACACATTCCATGCTGCTGACTGAAGCCACACCACAGTTAGGACAACTGCTTGCTTTCCAGTTCCAAGATTCAGCTGTGTGACTCAGCACTACCTCTACAGGGCTTTTAAACAGCTGACCTGGGCAGCAAAGGGCTCACATGATTAAACAGGTGGGTGAGTGGGTGGGGCTGGGGCTGGGGCTGGGAAAGAGTCAGTTCATCTTCTTCCAAACTTCAGGCATACAAAGAGAGACCAGCAGACCAGCTTCAATACAGTATTTGGTTTGGAAGACTGAGCTTTTTTCAGCCGAGCAGTAACATTTGCACTGGCTGGCAGCAGCGTGGTTTTGGATCAATATCCCCAGTTTGCTTTGAAGAAGCAGCGAACATGCATGAATCTCAGGGCTGGTAGTTATAGAATTGTTTGCTTCGGGAACAATTCACTGTGCTTATGCTAGCTAACTGAAAACCAGCCTGTCCACGCACAACCATCCCTCCAGCAGCTGCTCTGCCAGTGTATTGTGGCATCTATCCCACAAATCGAAGCCCCGCCAGCTCCAGTGTTGGGCTTTTGAAAACATACTGGCTAAGGCAGAGGTGTGGGAGCCTAAAGGATATGATTCTAATCCTGGCTTTGCTGCTGTGTCTCCATTTGCCCGTCTGTAAAATGGAAGAAATAATTCTCATCCCCCTCACAGAACGTGTGTAACGAGGCCTGATGCTTGCAAAGCATTTTGGGATTCTTCGGTGGAAGGGGCTATAGCAGCGCAAAGTATTATTGCTATTGGCAATTAAATAAAAGTGTTGCTGTAGGCAAGGATGGTATTAAAAAGCGTGTCTAAAAATTGAGGCCGTTCGTGTGGGGCACCAGTAAACAAACTGGGTATTCAGACCTCAGCTTTTTCACACAGCGTGGCCTAGCCAGTTTTGATCTGCATGCACTAGAATCCGGGGGTGGGCAGGAGCCACGCTTTGGTGTGAGCTGAGGAAAAGACGCGGTAGAAGGAAATGCAGCCAGCAAGGGAAGGATTGTTTGTCAGCGAGCTGCTACCACACGTTATTCCCCTGGGGGGGTCTCTTGGCAGAGCCATAACGTGGCCCCATTAGGATTCTGCAAAGAGGAGTCAGGAGAGCTGGGTTTTGTTCCTGGCTCTGCCGTAGACTTTCCAAGTCACTTAGGCCCAGATCCACACACAGTATATACATGCTGCAGCTGGGAGCCAGCTTCCCAGACTGGTACACAGACAGAAACTAAGAAAAGGAGGACTTGTGGCACCTTAGAGACTAACAAATTTATTTGAGCATAAGCTTTCGTGAGCTACAGCTCACTTCATCGGATGTATTCAGTGGAAAATACAGTGGGGAGATTTATATACATAGAGAACATGAAATAATGGGTGTTGCCATACACACTGTAACGAGAGTGATCACTTAAGGTGAGCTATTACCAGCAGGGACTAGTGCACTCAACGTAGCAATGTGGAGGTTGTGGCATGGGCCAGCCTGACACTCCGGGACCAAACTCAGGTGGCTAGCTACATCCACGCTGGTACTGCCTATCAGTCAGTCTAGTCTACCCATGATGGGAGACATGGTCCCAGCTGGAGTGTAGACATACCCAAAGGTATTTAGGCACTTAATGCTGATTGTGGTAGTTATGTGCGGCTAAATACCTTTGAGGATCTGGGCCTTAACTCCTCTGTGCCTCTATTTCTCCCTGGGGATAACTAAACCTACTTTACAGTGGTGGTGTAAGAGTTTGTTAATGTTTTGCAAAGTGCTTTGTGAGTCCTTCAAATGGAAGCTGCTATAGAAGGGTAAAATACCATTATCTGTTTGGTAAGCAATGACTAATGGCTGAGATGGGTATCCACCTATATAGAAGGGCTGTCAACACTGGACTTGTTTAGGGTGTGGGTGAAATTGAGCAAAGGAATTTATGGCTGAATAGCAGAGGGAAATGTCCTGCCTGTGGGATCTACATCAAACTCCAGTGTCCCAAACTCCCTCTGACCCCTGACTTCTATTAATCACCCTGAAAAATCACCCTCAAATCCCAAACCTTAGTTATCTGAATGTCCAAGTGTCCCCATGACAGAGTGGGAATCATGTCTATACTGCCTTTGAGCTGGGAAATGCTCCCACTCCCATGGGAAGTGCTGACAGCCATATCCCATCAGACATTTAAAACTGGACAAAGCACTAGAAAAAATACTGAAGGAAACTACTTTGTGATCTCAGAAGATGGACTGTGGCTCTGAGCTCCATGTGGGCAGGCCTCTTCACACATGCAGAAGCCCCACTGAAACCAAAGGGGCTTTGCATGGGCACAAGGGGTCTCTGTGAGTGGAGCTTGTTGCAGGATCAGAGCCTTAGTGACCCATCTCCTGCCTGTTTACGGCCTGATCCAAAGCCCATTGAGGTCAATCTCTAGAACCTGATCTACACACCAAAGTACTGGCTTAACTAAAGGTGTGGTTTTTTGACTGATTTAGTTAAACCCTCTCAATCTCCTGTGTGGAGACTCAAATGGGTTTCAGTCTGATTTATATGGGGTTAACTCGCATAGTGAATGTACAGGTACAAGCTCGCCGGACTAAAAACTTCTTTTAAACCAATATAAAAGTTTCAACACAGGGGTTTGCCCCAGTTGAACTCAGTTGGTTTTCAAACCGACGTTAATTAAACTGGTGTCAAGTCTGTGTGTAAATGAGGCTGAGAGTGCTCGGATTTCTGTTGGTGGGGGTTGGATGTGTGCGGCCCTGTTCATGGCCACTCCTGGGCTACTATAAATTCTGTCCGGGTTCTTGTGGTGTTTTACATTCAAATCCATGGCCTTGGCTACATGAGGCAAGTGACCACATGTAGATCAGAGTACTTGTTCCAGAATGAAATCACTTCTATCCCAGAGCAGAAGAGTTATTCTGGAATAGCTAAATTATATTGGAATAAGAAAAGGAGTAGTACTCGTGGCACCTTAGAGACTAAGAAATTTATTTGAGCATGAGCTTTCTGATGAAGTGAGCTGTAGCTCACGAAAGCTCATGCTCAAATAAATGGGTTAGTCTCTAAGGTGCCACAAGTCCTCCTGTTCTTTTTGCGAATACAGACTAACACGGCTGCTACTCTGAAACCTATATTGGAATAGTTATTCCAGAATAGCTATGCTGGTGAATTTTGTGTTATGTGGACAAGGCCTAAACAACTTGGAAAGGCCTTGCCACTAGCATTTTCTATTCTCCCTAACCCTCTGTTCCCTCCCTTCACTATTCCTGGAGCTCTGCCATGAGTGTCTCTGCAAATCATGCTGTTCCTTCCCCCGGCCCTGTGGTGCCCCAGGCATGATTTGCTGGTGTCACTGCTTTCACTGTTAAAGCACATCTTTCTTATGAACAGCCAGTCTAGTCTCTGCTGTCCCTGCCCTTAAAGGCTGTTCCTTCAGACAAGGAGATATAATTGCAGAGTCAAATTGAACTGAGTATTTTCCTCAGCGCCCCAGTGACAACGAGGGGTTGGAATGATGTTCAGGACCAGAACGGGGTCAGCAGCAGCCCCTCTGCTCTGTGCTGATGTAATGTGCCACCATTCTTATGCCAGGCTGAGGGAGCAAAGTGTGGGGCCAGAGAAGAATCCCAACAGTGTCTGTGATGCCAGACTGGCTCCCTTCTCCCTAAAAGATTCTTCCACAAACCTCTCTTCTGCGTGGAGGGGAAGGAAGAACTCATCCCCTCCCTACTTTTCCACGGGGTGAGAGAAAGAAAAGGACCCCTGGCAGCTCCCCATCCCCTCCAAGGGCTTTGTAGCAGGGCAGATGGGGAGCCCTCCTCTCCACATGAAAAAGAATTTGCTCCGAACCTTGGATCCTCTGCACCACACATGAGGGAAGGAAGGGAGAACCCATCACCTCCATCCAGGGGGAAGAGGGACTAAACCAAAGCCCTTTTCCACCCACACCCCAGACTACTTCTGCCGCTGGGGGCGGCTCTGTGCCTGGGGATGCCAGGTGGACCGCCCCACCAGCAGTGAGTGGACTAAGCTTTCCGTAGGATTTCCTCCCTGGAATATGTATGTCTGACATCAGTGCCCTCAGCCTTCCTCTGCATGTTGCTGCTCACTGTGACCAATAGGTGTCACTCTCAGAGCAAACATGAACTGGGTGGGGATATGGAGAACACAGAGGCGAAGAGAAGAAAGAAAAAGAAAAGGAGTACTTGTGGCACCTTAGAGACTAACCAATTTATTTGAGCATGAGCTTTCGTGAGCTACAGCTCACTTCATCGGATGCATACCGTGGAAACTGCAGTAGACATTATACACACACAGAGACCATAAAACAATACCCCCTCCCACCTCACTGTCCTGCTGGTAATAGCTTATCTAAAGTGATCATCAAGTTGGGCCATTTCCAGCACAAATCCAGGTTTTCTCACCCTCCACCCCCCCACACAAATTCACTCTCCTGCTGGTGATAGCCCATCCAAAGTGACAACTCTCCACACAATGTGCATGACAATCAAGTTGGGCCATTTCCTGCACAAATCCAGGTTCTCTCACCCCCCCACCCCCCTCCCAAAAACCACACACACAAACTCACTATCCCGCTGGCAATAGCTCATCCAAAGTGACCACTCTCCCCACAATGCGCATGATAATCAAGGTGGGCCACCCCCAGCACAAATCCAGGCCTTCTCACCCCACCCCCATACACACACAAACTCACTCTCCTGCTGCCAATAGCTCATCCAAACTGACCACTCTCAAAGTTTAAATCCAAGTTAAACCAGAACATCCGGGGGAGGGAGGGTAGGAAAAAACAAGGGGAAATAGGCTACCTTGCATAATGACTTAGCCACTCCCAGTCTCTATTTAAGCCTAAATTAATAGTATCCAATTTGCAAATGAATTCCAATTCAGCAGTTTCTCGCTGGAGTCTGGATTTGAAGTTTTTTTGTTGAAATAAAGAGTCCCTCATAACACTCTTGCAGCAAGAAGCCTCAGTGCAAAGGTGCCTGGAGTAACCACACACAATTGCTGCCAGGGAGAAAAATGCAATATTCCTCACTGTGTGGGGCACTAAATTCAGTCCTCACATAAATACAACTGACATACGGCTCTGTGCATCTCCCCAAAGGCCCAAACTATCCCCACCACAGGGATAGTAAGGATTTCCCTCAGGGAAATTGTTTCCTCAGGGGCAAGGGTAACAGGAGATTCAGCCCCCTCAACACACAGATCCCCACATGCCTGCGGCTTTCAGAGGAATCTGTTGGATGCCGGAGCCATCCAAATGGAGGCTGCCTCCCCACACCCTCCTGGCTCCCTCTGCTGCTCACCTCCTGGGACCGTGCCTCCAGGCTTTCTTCTCGCCTCAGCCCCCTCGTTCCTTCTGTGTGGGGGTCAGCACAGAAGGGCCCCTTGCATGATTTACCATTTGTGGAGCCATTGCCTGGAGGGTTGTTCATGTGGGGCCACAAGGCAGCTCTTGGGGAGGATGGTGGGGTTTGAGCCATGTCTGCTTCTCCACCGCCCCATGCTTGGAGAGCTACCGCTGAGAAGTGTTATATAAGAGCTAGGTGGTATTTATCACTAAATACTATTAGTATTTATCACCATTATACGAGATGAGCAGCAGCCCTCAGAGGCTCCATCTGTTTCCCCGGCACCCACGCCCAGCTTTGTTGCTTTGTGGTGCACCCATACACAGCACCACTTATTTGTTTATTTGCATTTTTTTCTAAATTACTAATTGTCTGAGTGACAATTTGACAACTTGAGAAAGAAACAACAAAGGTGGGGTGAAGGCCTCTGTTTCTCATGTTTAAAAAGAAAAAAAAAAACAATGGGTTTGCTGAAGCTACATCCTCCGTTGCATCTGTTCCTGTATGGGGTGGGGCTGGCATGCTTCACAAGCTGCGCTGAGGGCGGTGGCTGCCCGCTCAGCGGCTCCTTAGAACTGGAGTAACAAAGGGAATTCGATGCCCTTAGCTTATCACAGGTGCCTTGCGAGCACTAGGAAACAATCAGCCTGTAGTTCTCCCCTGGTGAGGCATTGCAGCAGCAGAGGAAGGCTGGGCTTGTAGCTAAATGCACTGGACTCAGGAGAACGGCATTCAAGTCCCAGTTCTACCAAAAAGAAAAGGAGTACTTGTGGCACCTTAGAGACTAACCAATTTATTTGAGCATGAGCTTTCGTGAGCTACAGCTCAGTTCTGCCCATATAAAAGTGCTTTTCCTGTCTAGCTTATCCTGGTTCAGGAAGTGAAATAAACTATGCCGGGATAACTACAGTCACACTGGGGTTGTTCCTGGATCATTATATCAGTAAAAAAAATCACACCCCTTAGCACCATATTTTTACTGCATTATCTCATGTAAACCAGGCCTTGGGCACAGAGAGTCTATGGCCCAGATGTGCAGAGGGTTTTAATACCTCTCTGTTCCCCATCTGCAGAGTAGGCATAATAGTCCTTCCTTTCTTCCACCCTTTGTCTGTCTTGTTTAGTTAGGCTGTGGGGCAGGGACTGTCTCTTACTATGTTTATGTGCAGCATCTTACACCTGATCTCAGCTGTGGAACCTAGGTGTTACTGTAATCTAAATAGTGAGAGACAGTGTAGATAGGGCTTTTTCCTCAGAAGGCTGTGTAATTCCTAATGAAAAGGAGAGAGTTATTTTCAAAAGCCAGCTCCTGCTCTGACTCACCCCCGTGAAACCTGGCTGAGGCCAACAGGGCTACCCAGTTGTGAGAGAGCAGGATTTGCCAACATGCCACCTCCCACCTATGTTAGAAGCAGGACACCTTCATTCCAGATGTAACCAGGCCGGCCCCCTCAGGACTGGGGGTCGTGCTACAGCCCTCCTGCCTCAGTTTCCTCTCTTGGCCTGTTCAATAAACTCAAAACCTACTTTTGTCCATTCCTATCCCTTCTTGGGTTCTGCTTTATTAAACTCACCAACATCCCAAATCACGTTTTCAAGGCCAGCCAGGATTCCATGCTAACCAGAAGTTTCTCTTTATCCTCCTCGGCTTTTCCTGTTTTGCCTCAGTCCTAACTCCCAGGACTCTCTGCTAGAGCCTGCTGGCTCCTAGCAGTCTCCAATCCCAGGACAATCACCCTGATCACTCCAGGGTGTGGCTCCTTCTGTAATCAGGGGTGGCTAGCTCCAGCCCTTAAAGAGTGAGCTACCCTATTACACCAGGTTAATTATAAGGCAGTTTCTGCAGAATCTCACTGGTGGTGAAAGGAGTTGGCTGGCTCTTGTTCTTCAAGATACTGAAAATTTCACTCCTCTTTTTTATTTTTTTTTATTTCCCTGCTTAATATTGACCCAGCTTGACACGGGTTTGGTTTAAATCCCATCCCCCAAGACAGAATTGCTCATCAGAACAAGGGGATAGCAACCCACAGGAACTGTGGATGTCACCGTTATTTTGGGTTTCTTTAACTTTAGAACCTCTCTGCACACCTAATAAATTTGCAGCTTCCAAGCACACCCTCCACCTTTATTTTCCCATGTCAAATGGACTGTGTGCTTTTGTTTCTTGGGCCCTGTCTACACTGGCAAGTTTCTGCACAGTAAAGCTGCTTTCTGCACTGCAGAAAGGCGTACACACCGCCTGAGGCGTACACACCACCAAGCCATTTAGTGCGCAGAAACCGCACAGTTGCAGCGCTGTAAAAAAACCACCCCGACGAGAGACGTACAGCTTTCTGCGCCGGGATTACAGTGCTGTGATTGGCCTCCGGGAGGTGTCCCATAATGCCTGTTCTTGCCTCTTTGGGTCATAGGTTTGAACTCTCCTGCCCTGCCCTCTGGTGACCAATCATCAGCCCCACCCCTTAAATTCCTTGGGAATTTTGAAAGTCCCCTGCCTGTTTGCTCGGTGATGTGTGCAGTGGTCTTGGCGCATCTTTCCAGGGGACCATGCCTGCTTCACGCACCAGGCAATCCCCCGCCTGGAGCAATGCCGAGCTGCTGGACCTCATCAGCATTTGGGGAGAGGAGGCTGTCCAGTGCCAGCTGCACGAATTATGATACCTACGGACAGATTTCACGATGCATGACAGAAAGGGGCCATGGCCGGGACACACTGCGGTGCAGGCTCAAAGTGAAGCTGCTGCGGAACGCCTACCACAAGGCGCGGGAGGCAAAGTGCTGCTCTGGTGCTGCACCCACAAGCTGCCGGTTCTACGAAGAGCTGGACGCGATACTCGGTGGCGACCCCACCTCCACTGCGAAGGCCCCTGTGGATACTTCAGTGGCTCACGTGCCAGTCGAGAGCGGACCGAGCCCAGAGGAGGAAATCTTGGACGAGGATGTGGGGTGGGATGAGGACCCAGAGACAGAGGATGGCTTTGAGGTCAGCGATGCATGCAGCCAGGAGCTCTTTTCTACCCCAGAGGAAGCTAGTCGGTCACAGCTGTCGGATCTTGGCAAAGCACAAACAGGAGAGGAGGCCCCTGGTAAGTGGATCTGATTTTGGGAATCACTGAAGCGAGTTGTTGGTGGCAGAAGGGTTGCAGAAAGCAGGCTTGTGTCTGTATGATGCACGTACCACCACATGCCTAGTCTGAGTGGCGGAACAGAGTGTTGATTGACTCCCTCACTTCACGGGAATCTGCCTCAGAGATCTCCACAAAACTCTCATGGGGATAATGGGCAATCTGCTACTGAAGGTTCTTTGGGAGAGCTGCTTTGTTTCTTGCCCCATTAATGGTAACTTCCCCACACCACTCTGCTGTCACGGGGCCGGGGGGGACCATTGCTGCACACAGGCGAGCCGCATAAGGGCCAGGGCGGAAGCCACAGGCTTGGAGAAGACCCTCCCTTGATTCCCTGCTCACCCTCAGAAGTGAGATATCTTCCATAATGATCACCTTCTGTGGAAAGTGTGGGGACAGGAATGATTATCAGTCCCCCCTACAGTGCTGGCTGTCCCCAAGAGCCACATTCCCAGTGTACAGCAGGGTCCGGGAAGAGTGATTTACCCTGCCCCTGTGGCTATTCACCATTTTGGGGGTCTTGTGGCTCATGTGTGCTTGCCCGGGGTCAGCCAGTTAGTGACAGGTGTGTGAGTACTGGCTGTGTTTTGAAGCATTGAATCAGTGTTCTGTGTGTTGCAAACAATACTGCTTCTGTAAAATGTTGCATTTAAACTTCACAGAGATGATCTTGGGAGCCCAGCCTCCCTCTTTGTTATCACCCGCTGAATGGCTGCACAGAGTTAGAAAGCGGCCACGAAGAACTAAGGAGGACTTTCTGCATGATGTTATGATGCACTCCACAGGTGAAAAACAGGAATCAAAGGAGTGGCGGGACACTGAGAAGAGTGACCAGAAGGAGAACACGGCACATCAGAATGAAGCCACGGAGCGGCTCTTAAACATTATGGAGTGCCAAGCGGACACAGTCCAGGCGATACTAGCTCGTCAAACCGAGCAGCTCTGCACCTCCCCTCCCCTGCAGCCACTGTCGCAAAACTCTTTCCCATGCACCCCCCAGACGCCACCAAAACACTCTTGTCAACCACCTGGCTCCAGTCTGTACCCGCAGCATTCCACTCCTCCCCCGTCACAGTCCAGCACTGCGGACTCCCACTACCCACTGCACTCAACACCCATCCCTCTGCAGTTTAAAGCGCTGCACTGTACTCCAAAGGAAAAGGTTGGATATGATCCCAGGATGTACACAAATCTTTAGCCATCCCAGGACCCCACCTCCTCCTGGGACCTCCCCTTCCCCCATCTCCCTCAGTGCTGGTGGGTTTTTTGTTTGACTCTCTCCTCCAGTTGTTGCTTTTTAATAAAAGAATTGTGTTGGTTTTAATGCAATCTTTATTCTATTAACTGAAAGCAAACAGAGCCCTGCAAAGCAACAGACAGTTATCTTGAACCTTCATATTGAATCGTCTGCACCAACCACAATCACCTTCTAGCATTACAAGCACTGCAATTCTAAGAATAGCAACAAATATTAGTGGCTTTCAGCTTCAAATTGCTGCCTCAAGGCATCCCTGATCCTTATGGCCCCGCGCTGCGCCCCTCTAATAGCCCTGGTCTCTGGCTGTTCAAATTCAGCCTCCAGGCACTGAGCCTCAGTGATCCAGCCCTGAGTGAAGCTTTCACCCTTCCCTTCACAAATATTATGCAGCAGACAACATGTGGCTATAAGCATAGGAATATTGTCATCGGCCAGGTCCAGCTTCCCATAGAGGCAGCGCCAGCAGGCCTTTAAATGGCCAAAAGCACACTCAACCATCCTTCTGTACTTGCTCAGCCTGTTGTTGAACCACTCCTTGCTGCTGTCAAGTGGCCCCATGTATGGCTTCATAAGTCATGGCATTAAGGGGTAGGTGGGGTCTCCCAGGATCACAATGGGCATTTCACCTTCCCCTACGGTAATCTTCTGGTCCGGGAAGAAAGTCCCTGCTTGTGTCTTCCTGAACAGCCCAGTGTTCCAAAAGATGCATGCGCCAAGCA